AGCTACAACAAATGTAATTACGAAAATTTCGCTATCTCCCTTAGATTCGGAAATATTCCTCAAAAACCCAACTGGGACATAAGTTGACTTGAACCGTTTTACCACTTTGCTACTGAATAGTACTGTCAAGTGAATTCTCTAGGTTTTTCTTTTTTTTTATTTAAGCATTTTTTCTTATTTAAGCAGTTTTTAAAAATTTTATTTAAGCATTTTGACTATTGACCAGTTTTCAATGAATATCTCGGAATCACAGGGAGATAGCAAAATTTTTATTATAACCTTTTCTGTAGAACCGATTGAGAGCTACAACAAATGCAATTACGGAAATTTCGGTATCTCCCTTAGATTCGGAAATATTCCTCAAAAACCCAACTGGGACATAAGTTGACTTAAACCATTTTACCACTTCGCCACTGAATAGAACTATCGAGTGAATTCTCTAGGTTTTTCTTTTTTTTTATTTAAGCAGTTTTTAAAAATTTTATTTAAGCATTTTGACTATTGACCAGTTTTCAATGAATATCTCGGAATCACAGGGAGATAGCAAAATTTTTATTATAACCTTTTCTGTAGAACCGATTGAGAGCTACAACAAATGCAATTACGGAAATTTCGGTATCTCCCTTAGATTCGGAAATATTCCTCAAAAACCCAACTGGGACATAAGTTGACTTAAACCATTTTACCACTTCGCCACTGAATAGAACTATCGAGTGAATTCTCTAGGTTTTTCTTTTTTTTTATTTAAGCAGTTTTTAAAAATTTTATTTAAACATTTTGACTATTGACCAGTTTTCAATGAATATCTCGGAATCTAAGGGAGATAGCAAAATTATTGTCATAACCTTTTCTGTAGAACCGATTGAAAGCTACAACAAATGCAATTACGAAAATTTCGCTATCTCCCTTAGATTCGGAAATATTCCTCAAAAACCCAACTGGGATATAAGTTGACTTAAACCATTTTACCACTTCGCCACTGAATAGAACTGTCGAGTGAATTCTCTAGGTGTTTCTTCTTTTTTTTATTTAAGCACGAACCTATTGGTTACATAGCTTCTAGGTTTTTCTATGATTTTTTCTGTGCATCGATTGTTCCTGAAATTTCGATTTGTTTGGTCCATAGAAGAAAGTGGGTGTCGGTTTGTGGGAGGCTTGTAGCACTCGCCGGAGGCGATTAAACTCTCACGAGTCAAAACACACTTTCCCAACGAGTGTGATGTCACTCTCCACATGACGAGATAGAAAACATTTGCCAAGTTTTTCGCATAAAACATCAGAATCTCTATGAAATAGTTCTCTATAAATAATTTTAGATGTTTTCGTACAAGGAACTGCATTGCTATGGCCTTCCTCATTAAAGAGGCCGAAGTAATAAAATGAAAAACGGATTTTTTGTCGATCGTTTGTCGATCGAAACCCCCGTGACATTCTCAATTGAGTGCATTTTCCATGATTTCTTCTTTTTATGTGCAGAAATGGTTCGACAATGGTGAAAATTGATGTCGACTTGGAGAATGGCGGAATGAAACTTGATGAGAACTTTTTGATTGATTTTGGAGCTGATAAGGATGATGTCCTCTTAGCACATGAGATGAGGTGAGCAAAATATTTACATATGATTTGAATAGTAAATTTCTATTAAATTTCTAAATTTTTTTCGTTTTCTTTTGAATTTCTTCTCATCAAGAATCAAACAGAACAAAATCAAACAAAAAAACTTGGAAAATTTGAGCCGAGGAAGTTCTGGAGAAAATAACTCAATAGAATAAGTTACAGGGGAGAGTGGGGCAAAATGAAACTGTCGAAAAAACAATCGTTTGATGCAATTGAAGCAAAAAAATTTTTTAGCAACTTTTTTTGTTATTGCGAGTACTGATTAGAATAATAATTTTCCATTTGGTAGTTTTTATGGGAGAAGATTTTGCCAATGGATTAATTAAAAAGAAAATAAAACAGCAAAATCCAAAGTCCAGAGGAAGGCCCAGGGGGAGACCCAGAGGGGAAAAAGGAAAATGTGATGCTGAATTTCAATCGAATGAAAAAAGAAAAGTGTAATCGCCCGAATCTAATCAATTGAATTATAGATGAAATATTTCATATTACTTGAAAAGAGAACTGTGGATAAAATTAGTGAAAATTATAAATATTGTCGTCTCGATATAATAAATATATGAAAAACCTTCGGGAGTGGTCGAATGAGGAGAGAACATAGACTCAGCGATGACGAGGTCTTAGTTTGGCTGCTGGAGGGTCAGGGGACAAATCGTTGAGATCGAGATCTAACAGGGGAGTGGGATTCATCTGTGGAGGTAGTCGCTACCCTATATAGGGGTTTCGAATATCTGATTTTTTCGCACCGCATGTTCTTTTCCACCGAATAGAAAATTATTGCTCTCATCAGTACTCCCAATAATAAAAAAAGCTAATAAACAAAAGTAAATGAAAAAAAAGTTGATAAACAAAAATTCTTTTCGCTTCAATTGCGTCAGATAGTCATTTTTCAGCTGCTTCATTTTGCCCCACTCTCCCATACAGAAAAATCGAATTCTATTAACTTTTTCTATTGAACGTTTTATAGAATTGGCCAAAAACTAATAGAAAGTTCAATAGAAATCCTGTAGTCTTTTCTAACGAATTCGCTGGGTTTTTCTATTAAATTTGTTCATCCGTGTACCCAGAGAGTGACGGGTCACGTACACGGAGAGAAATATTCAATAAAAATTACCAGAAAAAAGACGTAAAAATTACGTTTCGAAACGTAATCTCGGAGCGAAGTAAAATTCAATAAAAAAGTGTCAATCGTCACGTAAATTCTACGATCTGTTCCGTAAAAATTACTCATCCGTCCGACGCCTCACGGCTAGCCATGAGTCACCGTGAGGGGGGGAATTTAACAACACGTTCCGTAATTTTTCCGCAACTTTTCGTAAAAATTCTTAAACATCCAAGAATTTTCATGTTTTGAGGCATAATAAGTCTTGAAGTTTCTGTTAGATTTGACAACTTCCAGAAAAATTACGTGACTTTTTCGTATTTTTTCGGTGACAGACCCGAAAATTTGCTGAACGTTTCAGATTTATTCTCTTATATTCCTATAGAAATTCACTGAAAACGATTCTAGCTTGCGGATTAAGTGAAATGTTCCGTAATTTTTCTTGAATATTTCTCTCCGTGTATGAATGAAAAATCGTCGAGTGGAAAGCCAGGGAAATCTCCCACCCGAGTTCCGCAAAAAACTCCATCCTACCCCGATGAAAACATGCCTTCCACAAATGGCAGCACAGTATTAGCAATATCCCAGAGACAATGAGTAAAACAGCATTTGCCTGTGTCATTTCGAACCGGAAGTTTCCCTGCTCCACTGGGCTCCCTATTTCCGCTTCCGTCCCCATGGCTCCTCGACATATCCACAAAAATATCGGAGAATTTGGATAGAATACGTTCATGTGTCTATTCTACAGTCAGAGAAGATTTGCGTTTGCAGCAAATATTCTCTATTCCAAATTTCTCTATTCATTTTAACAAAATTTTTGTTGAGAATTGATAAACTTATCTGTTTATTGCAATGGAAAGTTGAATTGTGAAGTAAATAATTAAATAATACCAAATGAATATTCTATTTGAATTAAGTGAACAATTTACTTGATCCACATGAAGGATTATTACATGTCAATATCTTCGTTCTATTACTGTCTAAAAAATAATTTCATTTCTAAGTAAAAAAATCTTTATTTGGATCTAAATAAGTTTTTTCTTCTCCTAAAGAAGAATTATATTTATTTGATGGGAATAAACAAAATCATGTTCACGTTTGAAGGAAACGATTCATTTGATGAAAATAAGATTTGTTTAATTAAAATAAATGAATTGTTTTAGCTATGAAATAAATAATTCATAATTCATTTCACAGCCTCAAATAAAAAATTATTAAATGTTAAGGTCAAGAAAAACCTTTTGCGTTTTTCGAGAAAAAAACTTCAAAAACATTATTTTCCGCGTAATTTTTTCTCAGGAATCCGATTTTGTATGTCAAATTCTACGACGAAAATTCGTTCTCTTCGTCGTTCAAGCAATAATTTTATTTCTAAATAATAAATACTTTATTTAAATCGAGCAAACATTGGTTTATAATTTAAACAAACTATTCATTTCATGATGAATGAAAATGCGAGTAAAAATGAAATTTATTTTAACCCATTTATCAAATGAAAATGAACTATTTCTCTGGCTGTACATCGATGAAAATTCAATACAACGTCACTTTGCGGTTGTTCTCACCCAACTGTTTTTTTTATTCACCACAGATATCCCGGTGGAGACTGCACCTCAGACATCTGGCTCCCGGAGACCCATTAAAATCGCTGTACCAAATAAAAACTGGAATAAATCCTTGCAATTATTTATTCATGTTGTTCTATTCATTCAGACACCACTTGATGCCTCCTCTCGGTGCTCCAACAATAGCCGGAAGCGAGTGAAAGTGAACAATACCTTCACTGGGATAGAGACACAGAGCCACTAATTATCCTCTCCCTTCCCTTTCTTTATTATCGAACTGAAATTCATGAGGTTCTCATGAAATTGCATAACTTGAAAATTATATAAAAAATGGGGAATTAATGGACGGGTATCCATTGCACGATTATGAGGAGACTTTTGTGCGGAGAAAATTCTAAACACTGAGATGATTGATGAGACGTGAATATTTGAACGATCTGGGAGAAAATAATTCCATAGAGTGGGGCATATTTTTTCTTAACTAAACATCCAACATCTACATTACAGTTCTTATGAAAAGTAAAACTGGAAAAGTAATAAATACAAAAACGACCTTTTCATTACGAGTTTAATTATCCAATATTATATTCAAGTAGTTTGGATATTTTTGCTTCCGAATGGAGGCTTTGTATCATTCAAATTTAAGTTTTGAATTTTTTGTGTTGCATCGGTGAAAGGGGGATAAATAATTGTCCGCGAGCGGCCGTTAGATCGCGAAAATTTGAGCTTCAAATGACCAGACATCGGCATAATCATAATTTTGAATTACAGTTAAATTCTGAATACGTCAATTGGAAATATTATTCACCAATTTTTTCATTATTAAATTAACTGTCAATTTAAATATTCACATTCCGGCAGAAGTCGAGTTTGAAGTCGAGTGCGATAAACTCGACTTATTGCGCGGCGAGACAAAGAAATTTAGATAAATATTCTTCATCAAGAACGACTCATCAACGTTTCGCTATCACGATGACTCGAAAAAATACCAAACTTATTTATTATGACTGAACAAATTTTCAAAACAGAATAATGACATAAAAATTGTTAGTACAGTAAATATGAGCATCTACAACAGAATGTTGTCGAATAGATAATAAAAGTGGAATAAAATGAGAGGAAAATATTGTTCTTGCGAATGCCGGCGGCGACAAGAGAATTTCTACGTATCGAATCTTTCCCTACTATCTATTGTGATAGAAAACAGTTCTGTTCGATGAATATAAAAACACACAGAGAGATTCCCTCACTCAGTGTAATTTTTTTTAGCACAAGATAAGTCTCAGGATGCCAAGGATTTCTTTGATCTTCCTCTTCGCCGTGGCGATGCTCTTCATTACCGGTGAGGACATTTTATATTAACCCTAGTCTGGTGACCAGACGCGACCCTGCGACGTGGTCACCTCCGCCGGGCTGCGCCGCCGTCTTATTTACGCTTCAGCGTTGCCGAATGCACTCTACACTGCCCGGGCGCGTTTAGCGAGTTCCCGGCAACGCCGCGTAACGGCCATTTTCATTTAAGGTACTCCATCAGTGAGTTATACTTTTTTTTTATTGTTCAGTGAATAATACTTGGTGAATATTTCGCAATGAACTGAAGACCTAAATTAGGATCATATGTTGTTGAGCACATGTGAAAGCGATTCCCAAAATTTCAAGTATTTTTTCCACGCGAATTTTTGAGATATGCATCGACAAAAACGTTAAAAAGACAGAAATTGAATGTTTGACGATGGATATCTCAAAAATTCGCGTGGAAAAAATACTTGAAATTTTGGGAGTGGTTTTTACATGTCTTCAACACCATATGATCCAAATTTTAGGTCTTCAGTTCATTGCGAAATTTTGACCAAGTATAACTCACTGAGGAAGTATCTTAACTCAGGGCCCGGCAAAGTCTGCTCTCGGAGCAAATCGTGCTCCCGACCTCAATTAGTGTGTTTCAATATGTTGAATAGACCGTATTGTATCGGGTGAGGGTCATAAAGGCTTATCCCCTCCGCTTGACGTCCGTTCGATCCAGCACAAGGTGGGAGTAACGCTACTGGAAAAGGGGGGAGCACGGTAGAATTCAAAAATTTGAATTTCCTCTTCTTGACATTGCTTTTTTATTTACTTTAAAAAAAGTACTTTGAATTAAAATACAGAAAAAGAAATTCCAGTAGCAGTAAAAGTAATTCCAGTATTTTAGTAGTAGTTTCATTTCAACAAATAAATAGAACAGCGCGCGCGGGAGCGCGCGCATAGATCTTGTCTGAAAGATCTTAAAGATTGTCCTAAAGAAAAACGACGCGCTGCGGCATTGCCCTCATGTGAAACCCATTTCTTTTTGTTTTTACAACTCCTTTGATAAATTGTCCAATATTTACTCCAAGCATTTGCAGGAATAAGCGGTCAGCGTTGTCCGCGAAACGAGCATTTCCAGAGGTGTGGAACTGCTTGCCCGCCAATTTGCGGACGGCGGAGACCAGATGTCTGCCCTACCGTAAGAATAAAATTTTCTACTTTGCATATGATTTTTTTTTATATTAACGAGTCATTTTAATAGGCCGTAAAATCCTATTAAAAGTTAACAGAATCAAATAGAGTGAAAAAAGTTTTTATGGCGTTGTCTCTAAGCCTGCGTGTGCGCAAAAGCCTTCACACAGATTTTGATGAAAAATAACGTTTGACAATTGTGGGAAAGTGTTCTTCGACGCATTAGAATTTTTTTTTGGGACTATTGCATTCTTCCCCGATTTTCAATGATCTAGCCTATTTTTTAGGAATGAATCCTTAATTTTTGAAAAATTAACAAAATCAGTTGATTTTAGGATTTATCACTCGTTAAGTTTTATTATATTTTTTTTAGTGATCGTTTTCGGTTGTTGTAAATCATATGATAAAGTCTTTCATTTTTTTTTTACAAAATGTTCTATATATTTTACAAAATATTCTATAAACATTTTTCTGTATAAACTCCCCGAGTTTTTTCTCTCTTGAAAGTTTCTATTTTTAAAAAAGTGCCGAAAAGCTGCAAATTTTTCAATAAAATCGGCGGAAATATAATTTTTAATAGAAGTCTAGTGGAAATTCAATAGAATTTTCGACACTCGGCCGGAAATATGCATTCCATCACTATAATCACCGAATTAATTGACAACTGAATTTTTACAGGTGTGCATTCGCGGATGCTTCTGCAATTCCGGATACATCAGACGGTCACCGCGTGGTCGATGCGTCAGGAGATGTTGATTCGAGAAATCGAAGACGTAAAAGTGTAATAATTAAAAACATTCCATGTTGTCCTGTATCGTCAGACCTATTTAAAATAAAATAAAAAGTTGTTTCGTCTTCAACGGAATAATTTCCTTCCACTTCTCCTTGAAAACCAATAATTGCAAAACAAAGAATTTGAGGGAAAAGAAAAATACAGTGAAAAAAAGCAAAACAAGTGGGAAATTGCTTTCGTCGCAACAATATATTTCAGTCAATAGCCTTTTGCTAATGAATTAGCAATTTTCTTCTGAGTGGCACTTATGGGACGATGTATGTTAAATTGTATTCAATGATTTATTGATGTCACCATTGTCCCAATGTTGGCAGTCAACATTGCTTCAACGTCGGTAGCCAACATTGCCCCAAGGTCATTGGCCAACATTGGGACTGGCAGCCAACATTGTCCTAAAGTTGGCGGCCAACATTTTCCCAATGTTGGCTGCCAACCGGACAATGTCGGGACAATGTTGGCCACCGACGTTGGTAGCCAACAGTGTCCCAACGTTGGCAGTCAATATTGCTCCAACGTTAGTATTCAACAGTGTCCCAATGTTGGCAGCCAGTGTTGCCCCAACGTCGGTAGCCAACAGTGTCCCAACGTTGGCTCAATGTGGGCAGCCAATATTGTCCCAAAGTTGGCAACCAATATTGTCCCAACGTTGGCAGCCAAAATTGCCCCGACATTAAAATTTTTAACTTTCCCTAAAATTACTTTCGAAATAAATTTTGTCAAAATCAAATGCAATCAATCTCACGATCGAACTCGCTCAAGATGGCATATCAGATGTGACGAGTGCAGCCCTTCCATTCAGAAGCAAAAAAATGAGTCGTTTAATTTTCACCAAAAATATTGTCGAAATACACTTTAAAAAATCAGATAAACGATTTCACTTTATCCAAAGCGTCACTTCTCAGGCTGTAAAAATCCAATAAAATTTTCTCCTAAAATCTCTTCCGGCATTTCCCCTCGCGTGCACCGCTGCCCGAAAATTCAAAAAATCCCGCCGACGCGCCGTCCTCCCCCTCCCCGCCCGCGACCAAAATGGCGCTAGGTCGGCACAGTGGGGGCAGTCGAACCGAGTCGATTCCTCTGTTGCCGTCTCGCGATCTCGTTTCATTTCACCAGTGTCCGAGAGGAAGTCTCGCCAAAGCCCTCGTAGTGCGTGTGCTCTGGCCCACGAGCAATGTCCAGTGATAAACTGTTCCATCAAGCTCACATCAACTAGTCTCCCTCGTTAAATTGAACCCGCTCTTCCCCCATCGTCTACACTCACCCCGCGAAGAAAGTTCAAACCAATTGCAGTCAATAAACCCTTCGCCTTCCGCTCCAAACGATGAAAATAACCTCGGACATTTAAAAATCCCCGAACAGTCGTGAGTTCACCGTATGTTTTTGTTGTCTCCAAGTGATGTTTCGCCCCTGAACGCCGCGGAGCCGTCGTTAAACAGTGCAAAACTCAAATAAATAAATAAAAAACAGTGCAAAAGTGAAAGAAAAAATTCTCAAATCGGATATTGCAGTGTGAAAAATGGTAAGTCCCACGGAAAACCGAAAAACCCTCGCATTTCCTTACATAACTCGATACATAGATCATCCACAACATTCACCTCCGCGGGAGCATCTGAAAAACCTTTTTTCCCCTCTCTCTTTCTCCTTTCAACAATGTCCCTGTCCCTCTGTCCCTCCGTAATACGATCACAATGTGCGTGACCAGCATTGGAAGGGTCTGGGCTCAGAATCAATTGTCCCCGAAAAATCCAAGGGAGAATAGAAGGGACTGGCGGCAGGTAGAACCGCTACCTGAGCGATGAGCTCGGTGTACCTGCGGGCGAGTGACATATCGCGTCAAGTGGAATCTCTAATAAACAACCGTTTCACTTAATCTCCCTCTTGAAAGCAAACTCACATTGCAGTACAGAGGATCCCTCATGTGAACCCTCTCCCCCCCTCCCGCCGACCCTCCCCCTCCCGCCCCCGCGGCATTTTTTTCATTAAACAATTTCATTGAATCGCTATCGCATGAGTCGGCGGGGAATAAACAACTCTTTCATCATCAACATGATGAGAATGTCGAGGGGAAACTTCGATCCGATTAAACTCGTGTGGATGTTCATTCATTCGGTTTTTATTATTTTTTTTTAGTGGGAGGGATTCGTTTTTTGGTGATTAGTAACAATGATGCGGTGGGGCTGATTGATTCAGAATGCAATGACTGCGAGGGGAAGGAGTAACGAAATTGGGCTGGAGCCCTCGCTTGTGCTCGTAAACGACCAGAAATAGATCGGGTAACAAATAAAGGGGGGAAAAACTGGCGGTGAGATGATTTCGATGCTGAAAAGTACGCAGTGTGCAACAGCCTCTGGGGGACCCCCTTTTTCCATGATTTTAGACACTGGAGTACGTGAAACCCCGTGGAAACAGTGGTTTTCGGCGCATGCGTTTTGGACTGAGTCGATAGGAAACCGATCAGGAGTGAAAATAAAAATTATTCCGGCTACATTGATCCCGGGTTTCAGTCAAAAATATTCGGTGGGATTTTGTACTCTCGGTTGGGGTATAGGGGAAGGTAGGGTAAAACGGAGACTTTTGACTTTTTTTTTAAATATTCATGACGTGTTGAATTGTTCGTGAAATGGAATAATGACAATTTCGAATTTGAAAATGTCACTTTCTCATGTAAAAAAATTATTCCTAATTCTTATTCTTGATTCGATAATTATAATATTCTTGATTCAATAATCATCATTTCATCGCGGTACTTGAATCAAGAATAAGAATTAGGAATAATTTTTTTACATGAGAAAGTGACAATTTCGAATTTGAAAATGTCACTTTCTCATGTAAAAAAATTATTCCTAATTCTTATTCTTGATTCAAGTACCGCGATGAAATGATGATTATTGAATCAAGAATGATATTATAATTATCGAATCAAGAATAAGAATTAGGAATAATTTTTTTACATGAGAAAGTGACAATTTCGAATTTGAAAATGTCACTTTCTCATGTAAAAAAATTATTCCTAATTCTTATTCTTGATTCGATAATTATAATATTATTCTTGATTCAATAATCATCATTTCATCTCGGGACATTTCATCGCGGTACTTGAATCAAGAATAAGAATTAGGAATAATTTTTTTTACATGAGAAAGTGACAATTTCGAATTTGAAAATGTCTTCGTTTTTTAGTGTAAAATATTATTCGCTTCGAATTTTTTTCTATTTTTGATTCAAGAATTAGATTTTTTTGGAGCGAGAAGAAGCCATCATTGTTGAGTTGACAATCATGATATCAGAATTCTCAAATTAAATAGTTTGAATTATTGATTCGTGGAAATAAAAAATTCTCCAAAAAAGAATGAAAATAGAAACTCCAGATTAGGAATTCTTAAGACTAAAATTAGGCATAAATTTCTTTACCTGAAAAAGTGACGATTAATTCGAGAATATCTTCCGTTTTTTGATGCAGAATATCGATATTCTAGAGTTTGAATTCTTATATTCTTGATTCAAGAACTGGATATTTGTGGAGCGAGAAGAAACTCTCGTTACAGAATTGAGAATGTTGATATCAGAGTTCTCAGGTCAATAAGTTTGAATTATTGATTTATGGGAGAACTACTCTTAAATCAATAATATATTTAACTACATTTCACTTTTCATCATGATTTTATATTTATATGATAGACCCTGCTGCACTAGGTCAATGACAGCATAAATTCGATTCCGCCATTGCACCAGTGGTTATATTGGTGAAGACGCTTAAAATAGATCAGACTATTAATTAACGAGGCAATACACCGCTAATTGATACAATTTGTCAATCTGTTTCACGCACTCTATGCACAATCTATTCCAATCAATTGTTTGGTGATTTCATTTCCTTCGAATAGATTATAAAATAATCGCCAATCCAATAATATAGAATCTGTTTTGAAGTTCAGAATAGCAATATTCACAAGTGAAGACAAACAATTCGTCCCTCAGGTCAAAACAAAATCTAAAAATAGTACTTACTGTAATCGATGGTTGGACAACTCTTCTTCCCAATAATATTCAAAAAATAATCAGTAGTAATACCTCAAGAGCTTCAAAATTATCGGACATTTCCCGATAGCTTCGTTGCAAACAAATGGTTTGTTTGCAGGGGAGCTTGAGGGAAATACCCGATTAATTTTGAATCTCGAGGGGTATTTGTCGGATTATTTTTCCCAATCGGATTTTGGCCAAGCGGAATGCAGTGGACAACATCAGGAGGTGAATTGGGGAAGATTTGAACAAATTATGTTAATAGAATAACCCGATTTCCATAGACTGTCAAATATAAGATTCTATCTGAAATGAGCCGAAAAAATGAAGAGCTACTGCGAAATATTCAGGTAAAAAAGGGAAGAACTACTGCGAAATATTTAAAAGCTAGGAGGAAATATCCGAAATAAAACTGTCGCGTTGCGCTCTGATTGGTTGAAATCCGATTGGGAAAAATAATCTCGACAAACCCCGTTAATTATTCATCTTCATCGAAATTTTATTTCTTATCGTTATTCACGGACTCGAAAAATTGTCTCCTATAAACAGCTACTAACCGACTCTTCGTCTGTAAACCCTAGACGTCGTCAATCAAACTTTCAAAACCTGTTCAGAATTACCAACATTCAAATAAATCACCTCCCACTACTCCTCATCATAAAGAAGAAAAAACATTTTGAACCGCCGAAAATCCTCGGATAATCGCAAACTCGTTGCCCAAACAGTGAGAGGAGGGGGAGGAGGCCCTCTCTCTCTCTCTCTCTCTCTCTCNCCTCTCTCTCTCTCTCTCTCTCTCTCTCTCTCTCTCTCTCTCTCTCTCTCTCTCGCCGAATTTAAGAAAAATCTGAGCTCATCTTATTTTTGTCCACAAGTAAATCTTCAGGGAAACATAATTTTTCCGTTGAACTATTTTTTTCTTTCAGTGCACTATAGCGGAAAATTTAATATCTTAAAAAAAACGAAATTTTTCTCGTGATCATCAGAAATATCTCTCGAAGAATTCGAACTGTCAGGAGAAAATATCTAATTATTGCAAAAAATTGTCCTCAAATTTTTTTAGTTTTACCCACAACAATTTTTTCTCTCAGTACAATTCCAAAAGTAAAAGCACCCAGTGCAATTTCAAACGTTTTTTATTCAGCTTTTCTCTCCGTGAACTTTGAGAACTTCAAAAACCCGTTTAAAATCCCCAACATCCAAATGGATCTCCTCTTCTCTTCCTAAAAAACCTTTTAAATTCCCTGAACTCATCACATAATCGCGCGACCGCCACCGAGACAGTAAACATCCTCACCCCTCTCCCTCGCTCTCAATTGAAGAAAAATCTGAGCTCATCTAGCTCGAAAAATCGAGTAAAAAATCATCCGCAGCAATTCTAACAATCTCTCCTCGATTTCACTCCATCCTTCTCCCCCATTCGCCCAAATACCACCAACTTTTACCGTCCAATTTCTCATCCCACATCTCTCCCTCCCCCCTCCCTCCTCCCCCTGCCACTTGATCCCAATATATGTATATCATCCGTGTATTAAAGATGATGCCGCGAAAGATGCCAAGTCGAAAGAGATAAGAGCAATACAAGAATAACCGACAGTCTCAGCCCTGAAGAAAAAAGAAGAGAGAATGAGAAAAAAAAATGCCTGAGAGAGGTAGAGGCACAACGAGAGGAGGTGGGGAGAACGGCGAGCCCGTGGCCCGTATATTCTCCGCACTGCCAGCAGTTCTCTCACGGATGGCCTACGAAAGTAGGCTCCAGGCCAATATTGACGCCATCGACCATTCAATGATGGGGGGAAATAGTCAATGGGGATTATTCCTACAATTTTTTCAAAGAAATTATTGAAATTAATTGCTCAGGCTCGATGAAGCGTGAGAAAATTCCACAGTTTTATCATTTTGTTCATTCGGTAAGAACTAGGGGAGAGCGGGGCAGAATGAAACAGTGGGGTAAAATGAACCAATCGAGAAACGACTATTTGACGCAGTTCAAGCGAAAAAAATTACAGGCGGCTGAATCTTTGATACAGCTCCATGGTCTTTTCTTCTTTCTCGAATTTCCTAGAAACTCCCTGCGTTCCCTCGAATTTTCTAGAAACATCCTGAATTTCCTCGAGATTTCTAGTAACTCCTTGAATTTTTTTAGAAATTTCTAGGAACTTCGCGAATTATCCCGAAATGGCTCGAATTTTCTAGAATTTCCGATAGATGGCGCTGCACGTAAGGACCGTTTCCCAAAATGAACCCCCATATTGAAACTATAGACGTATCCACGTCAAAAATTACCTACAATTACAGCTGTCTCAAAGATAGAGCCGCCTGCAATTTTTGACGTGATACGTCCATGATCTTTCCTTGTTTCTCGAATTTCCTAGGAACTCCCTGCATTCCCTTGAATTTTCTGGAACGAGATCGGCCGCGCCTGCTGCGCACGCGCCTTCGCATCTTCCCACGTAGCGGCGCTTCGGTTTCAGCCTTACGCTTATTCGAGATTTTCGAGAT